TATTTGCGTATTGCTCTACATCTTGTGTGTAGTGTGTAAGCCAGGCGCACTTTGAGCCAGACAATAGACCGACTTTGTTCTGGTCTAAAGAACAGACTATTTACAGTTTCTCAAAATAGCAACACGCCGAAACACGCCTGCTTTTTTTAGACCAGAACGCCTATGGGTGCACATTTGAGCGCAAATGCATTTGCTATTTAAACAGTGTGGTGCAACACCTCAAAATGACCCTTGCGCCAAGCTTAAAGTAGCAAAAGACTATTGCGCCGCGCCTTGCGCCACATTGCGCCGGGTGTATGATAGGGCCCGAAAAGGAAAGAAAAGTTGAAAACAAAACTATATTTTTACTTGAGCTAAGAATAGTTTGATATTTGGACTAGAAATGAGACAAAGCAAAGTAAAAAAAGCATTTTTTGCACTGATTGTTTTAGTTTCAGTACCTGAACACTGTTAGACTCCACAGAAAACCATCAAATCACGCTACTCAAGTTATCTGATCATTAACACAATGTTTATCGCAGGAAAATAAAATACAGCAATGTCAGATTTTTCTAATATCATGCAGCCCTAGTTCAAAGCATCATTTTTTTTAGTGGATGAATCTGACCTCAGCTAAACCCGCATCAATTTTGTGAGCAATTATCAGCACTTTCTCCTGCACAGTTGTAAGTCTCCTTGGAAACAAGACAAACTCTCGGTTCTCACTCAATGTGAAAATATTAAAAAGCTCTGGCCGCTCTGTAATGCAGCGGTCCTTTATAATTACATCTGATGCCCCCATGCAGCTACCAAAACATCGCTCGCAACACAGTTCAATTGGTCGTCAAAGTTGAATGACAACAAGCATTATCTGTTTAATCTAGCGAGAGCCCGGTACAAAGCTTTCTGGGAAAACCCTTTGTTCGCTGTGAAAGTGTGCAAAGGAAACTTGCCTAGGGTCTGCTTTGTGCGCTGTGCTTACTCCGCAGTTATTAAACATTACAAACAATCAATTAAGTGGCTGATTATTTCCTTTTACAAAGCCTTTTGCCCCTGCTGTGCTCTCGGAGCTGGCCGAGTATGGGAAAACATCGCTTTGAGAACAACAAGAGAGACTAAAATTACAGTTGCAGACGCGATGTGACCCTTAAAAATGACTTGCGCTGGAATATCTTATTGCTTGTTTGGAGTTTGAATGGATTTCAATTAGTTTCATTTCTGATGCATCTATACCCTGGCTATATATTGTGTAGTTCTGAGTGTGTTGCAGGTGAGTGGGCTTGACAAACCACCTGTAGGTTACACTCTTTCCTCTCTATGCACCAGGCACATTTACATTACATTGAGTCATTTACTAGAAGCTTCTGTCCAAAGTGACTTACAATTGAAGATGCATTTCGTCAAAAAGAGGCAATACAAATAAGCGCTAGCTATACAAAGAAACTGTTTGTGCTCAGAAAAATATATGCTAGAGTAAGGAGGTGAGGTGTTTTTTTAGCCAACTCACCTTGTAAAGCTCACTTAAGTGAATATAAATGCAATGTTAATGCAATTGTTAGAAATAATAATAATAATAATAATAATAATAATAATAATAATAATAATAATAATAATAATAATAATAATAATAATAATGGGCGAAGCAGTGGCGCAGTAGGTAGTGTTGTCGCCTCACAGCAAGAAGGTCGCTGGGTTGCTGGTTCGAGCCTCGGCTCAGTTGGCATTTCTGTGTGGAGTTTGCATGTTCTCCCTGCCTTCGCGTGGGTTTCTTCCAGGTGCTCCAGTTTCCCCCACAGTCCAAAGACATGCGGTACATGTGAATTGGGTAGGCTAAATTGTCCGTAGTGTATGAGTGTGTGTGTGAATGTGTGTGTGGATGTTTCCCAGAGATGGGTTGTGGCTGGAAGGGCATCCACTGTGTATAAACTTGCTGGATAAATTGGCGGTTCATTCCGCTGTGGCGACCCCGGATTAATAAAGGGACTAAGCCGACAAGAAAATGAATGAATGAATAATAATAATAATAATAAAAATAAAAATAATAATTCCGGTCCCACTTTATATTAAGTGTCCTTAACTACTATGTACTTACATCAAAAAATAATTACAATGTACTTACTGTGTTTATAATGTATTTGAGAACACTTGTGGTGCTTTTGAGTTGGGATAGAGGTTGGGTTATGGACAGGTTTAAGGTGTAAGGGATGGTCAACAGTGTATTTACAAATCTAATTACAAAAGTTAATTACAGATTAATTACATACAGTACATGCATTTAATCAAGCATAAGTACACAGTAAATACATGTATTTACACAATAAGTACATTATAACAAACTATTAATTCATATGTAAGTACATATTAGTTAAGGCCACTTAATATAAAGTGGGACCATAATTCCTCACATTTATATAGCAATTTTCTGGGCACTCGAAGCACTTTACACATTTTTAAATGTCTCCTTATCTGCCTGAATAACACAACGGCAGCCATATTGTGCCACCGCACATCACACACAAGCTTATTAGTGGAGAGGAGACAGAGTGGTGAAGCCAATTATTATATAGGGATGGTTCAGACAGAGGCCAGTGGGCCAGGATGCCGGGGTTAAACCTCTACTCTTTTTCAAAGGACATTCTGGGATTTTTAACGGGACCTTGGTTTAACATCTCATCTAAATGCATCTCATCTGATAGACGGTGCTCACTGAGCAGTATAGAGTCGCCATCAATATACTGGGGCATTAGAAACCACACAGACTGCAGGTTGAGCTCCCCTTGCTGGCCTCACTAACACCCCTTCCAGCCGCAACCTAGCTTTCCCATGTGGTCTGAATGGATGCAGCACTGCCTAGCTTTAATGGGTGACCATGTGAGGGTCGCAGAGAGCTAGCTGCCAGCAAGAAAGTATCTGAGGCAAATGTGCAAAACTGGTGCAAGTTGGTTAAAGCATCAGACAGGTGAAAGAGTGTGTTTTCTACAGGTGGTTTGTCAAGCCCACTCACCCGTGTGAGGCACACTCGGAATTGCATAACATTTTGAGATTGTCGTGTGGTGTGGCGGGGGAGAGAAGAATCCTGCGTTTGTTCACATGGATTCAAGTGATTACAGAAGAGATGGGTTTATTTTTACACTACGGACAATTTAGCTTACCCAATTCAACAATTGCGCATATTTTTGGACTTGGACAAAACCGGAGCACACAGAGGAAATCCAAGCGGACACGAGGAGAACGTGCAAAACTGCACGCAGAAATGCTAACTGGCCCAGCCGGGGTTTGAACCAGCGACCTCCTTGCAGTGAGGCGTATGTGCTACTCACTGCTCCACCATGCTGCCCCTACATATTTTGTCTTATTTTATTGTCTGTGTTTTTAACCCTTATATGATTGCTATTAGGGGTGTAACGATTTATCGTTGTATGATTTATTGCGATGCAAAAATGTCTCAATATGCATCGTGGCGTTATTACGATTTGATTACGATATGACGTCCGTTTTCTCTTATTAGTTGAGCTGTTTGCACGTGAGCTACATTCCACCTGCTGTCGCACGTGAGTTTAGATTGCCGCAGCAGTAATGTTAGCAGACCAAGATGAGTGGAGTTGAAATAGAGGATGGCCCATCCTCTCAAAATCAGACGTCTGGCAACATTTCGGTTGTACAGTCATTGCTTTAGACTCGTCCGCTTTTTGACACGCATACTGGGTCAAACATCCTAAGGTTTAAAGTCTTCACAGTGATTTACATACTTTGCACAGCGACATGGATACCTTCTAATGCTGTTAAAAGAGTCACATACTGTATTTATAAGGTACAATTCACCCTAAAATATCATTCTGTCGTCATATAAAGTTCCCGCCACAAAATCCCACATGACGTGAGCTGACCGTGAGCTGTTACTACAGAGGGCGGACTGATAGACGCGCACGTATGGCAAGCCGTTTTAGCATTTAAACCTTTGTTCTGACTATCCATAAATATATTTAGAGATATCTCTAATTATATTTTGACTAGTCATAATTATAATTCGACTAGTCAGAAGGACAATTAGAGATATCTGCAATTACAATTGTACAAGTACGAAATCAGATTGGAGATATCTGCAAATATGACTAGTCATATTCCTCCATTGACTTCCATTGAAAAATATTTGCAGATATCTCTAAATGAGTTTTGACTAGTCACAATTGTAATTAGAGATATCTCTAAATGAATTTAATTAAATATGAATTAAATACCTGGAAATGTGGATTTTTTTTTGTACACACAAAAAACGCAAGTGACCAAGCAAAGCCTTAAGCTCTTACTGTTAAATTTAATTGAATAGAAAGCTTATTTTTTTTGCACCTTTACTTAAATTGTTTCTTAATTTTGTCTCTGTCATTTCAATAATATTTTTAAGAAGTTTTTAAATTGTTTTATTTTCCAGAGACAGTCCTGTTTAATTTATTTTCTAAAAGAAGGTTTAGTTTAACAAGTTGAAACAAAAGAAATACATAAAAAATAGTTTACTTGGTAAAATTTGCATTTCAGTTTAATTTTCAATTTTTATTCCAAATATCGTGATACATATCGAATCGTGAACATTATATTGTGATACATCGTATCGTGAGCTGAGTGTATCGTTACACCCCTAATTGCTATTGATATTTTGAGGTTTTGAGCAGCTGTATAGGCATTTTACTGCATATTGTACTGTGTATGACTGTATGTGACAAATCAATTTTGAATTTGAATACTATAATAATGTCATTGGAAAAATAAAGGACCTTCTTGCTGTAAGGCGACAGACACAGTGCAGCCCATATATAATCTATGTAATTTAGGCGAACAATTAGATCTCCCTTGAGAACTTCACAAAAGTCCTGACCTGAATGCAGCTACCAGCATGTTACCATTCAGTTAGAACAAATCAGAGGTTAACAAACATATTCAATAATTTCTTGACTAATAACAGTGAAATAATAAATGGCTGCGAAATTAAAGAAATAAATGAAGAAATTCACTGAATAAAGGCTCACCTGTTCTTGTCACGAAGTTTAGAGATTTCTGAAAGCTGTGATATGAGCTCCTTCTCCAGTTTGTTTGTTGACAATGAATTCTCTAATAACTGGATCGCAATTCTTGATGTCTGATTCATAACCTTCAAAAAACAAAACAACAAGAAAATGAGCATTGAAATTGTCATCATGTACTATATGGTCTCTGTTTTTGCTATCTTGTTTTGATTTCTTATTCTATTTACAAAAATGATTTTTTATACACAGATATTACATCAAAGTCAACTATGTGTTTAAATATATATATTTTTAAATTGGATATAAACTTAGATATTTTTTAAGCAATAAAATTTGAATAAAAAAATGTGAAATAATGTTCCAACATTATTCAGTATTTATGTAAAAATAGATCCATATTTTGTCATGCACGTATTAACATATATACAGTAAAAGAATAAGTGATCACACTAAATTTAATTTAATTATTAATTAATTAATTAATTTTTATAATGATTGTTTTCTGCACTTTTTCTTTTTTTAATATTATTTTTGCTTTTGGTTAATTTTTTTTATTTCATTCTACAAAATTTGGATTTGATTTACAGTGACTATTTATTTATTTTTTATTTTATTCATTTTTATAGATTTTTTATTTTATTTTATCGTTTTTTTCTTTATCTTTTTCTTTATTTTTATGTATTTTTTACATTATTTAATTATTTATTATTATTAATTTTTAATTGTATTTTTTTACTTCATTTTATTATTTTTTTAATTTATTTAATTTATTATTATTATTAATTTTTATTTTATTTATTTTTTACTTTATTTTTATGTATTTTGTACATAATTTAATTATTTATTATTATTAATTTTTAATTGTATTTTTTTACTTTATTTTATTTAGTTTTTTACTTTATTTAATTTATTATTATTATTTATTTCTATTTTATTTTATTTTTTACTTTATTGTATTTAGTTTTTTACTTTATGTTATTTTTTTATTTTTTACTTATTTTTTATTTTATTTTTAAATATTATTTTTTACTTTATTTTATTTAGTTTTTTACTTTTTATTTTATTAATATTTTTTTTGTTTTTATTTTATTTTTATTTTATTCCATCCCACTTGCTGAAGATTTAGATTTGATTTATAGTGACTATTTTTTACTTTATTTCATTTAGTTTTTTACTTTATTAAATTTTTTTTAACTTTATTTTTTATTATTATTATTATTTTATTCATTTTTACATTATTTTATTTTGTTTTTTACTTTATTTTTGTTTTTACTTTATTTCATTTTTATTATTACTATTACTATTTTTACTTTATTTTTTATTTATTTTTTTAACCTTATTTTTATTTCTATTATTATTATTTATTTATTTATTTTATTTTATTACACTTTTAAAAAAAATGGTTTTGATTTATTTATTGACAAAATACTGTATAAAGATTTAAATGTGTAACTAATGTGTATTTTGGTTCTGTGCTGACAAGTATTTGGTGACAGAGAAATTTCAGAATACTACAAATATTTATTTAAAAATCTATATATTACACTTGTTTTAGTCCCGGGATGTCAGTGTAATCTCAAACCTTCAAACCCCAGTGATGTTTCTAAAAATGCAACCTTTTCCTGTGATGACAAAGTTGAATTTTTTATCCCCCATTACTCCAGTCTTCAGTGTCACGTTATCCTTTAAAAAAACATCATTTTAGGATTCTTTGCAATCATTTGAAAACGAAGCCTTTGTAAATGTTATTGCTGTCATGTTTAATTAATCGAATGTACAGTATATTTGCTCACTGAAAGTACAGTTTCACTTATACAGTTTTATGAATTATTATGTATTTATTTATGTATTTATGAGTAAATGTATGCATCTGCACTGAATGGTTTTAACAACACTAATGAAGTATGTACGGTTGAAGTCAAAATTATTAGTCCTGTGATTTTTTTTTTTTTCAAATATTTACCAAATGATGTTTAACAGAGCAAGGAATTTTTCACAGTATTTCCTATAATATTTTTTCTTCTGGAGAAAGTCTTATTTGTTTTATTTTGGCTAGAATAAAAGAAGTTAAAATTTTTTATAAAACTATTTTAAGGACAATATTATTAGCCCCCTTAAGTTAGATTATTTTTTTCAATAGTTTACAGAACAAACCACCGTTATACAATAACTTGCCTAATTACCCTAACCTATAGTTAACCTAATTAAGCCTTTAAATGTCACTTTAGGCTGAATACTAGTATGTCAAAAAAAATCTAGTGATATATTATTAACTGTCATCATGGCAAAGAAAACAGCTATTAAAAACTAGTTATTAAAACTATTATGTTTAGAGCAACAGTTTTCTCTGTTGGGGAATGAAATATACAGGGATGTTAATAATTCAGGAGGGCTAATAATTCTGACTTTAACTGTAGATGTGTAATGTGATCACCTTGGCTTCGACCACATTGAGTTTCCTGGATTGCTCTGCCGTCTGAGAGAGCAAGTTGGTGCCGATTTCCAGCATGGTGGCCGTCTGGTTATGAACGGCATCGGCCTGAATGTGCACCATCCCTGTCTTCTGCTCGATGTAGTTTTCTAACTGTTGAGCAAAGGAAACAGAATTGATTTATTTATTTTTTATTTCAAGTGTTCATACTTAATTATTGCTTGATACTAATTGCCGGTTTGGTATACTGTCCTGGGATAGAACCCTGAGCTCGGAGATAATTGAGCCCAGGACTCCTGCTTGGTTATTTAGCATGAAAGGGGGTCTGAGATCGGGTTGGTCTCGAAAGCTGGTAAAGGAGAAAAAGGAAAAGATGGGGTGGATGGGGGAATTCTTTAAAAATGAAGATAAAGCAAGTACGAGGAAGTAAAGTGAAAATTGACTATTTATAGGCTTGGATTGATCTGATGATTGCAGATGAGAGACCAGCTGTGATCAAGCTCCTCTCGAAATTAGTTTATAAAACTTCACTTATTTAGTTAACAACTTTTTTGTTCTGATGTTTACACTGAAAATTATGAAGCATCAACAAGAATTGTGCTATAAAGTCAAATACTGTGCAGACTTTTCCATTCTCATATTCTTGTAATGAGAATTTATTAATTAATTATACACAATTATAGGGTTTGTCATTTTATAATTCAAAAGTGTTTTTATTAGCAGTGCAATGCTATTTTATATAAATATATTTTAATGATTTAACTTTAATTTGAGATAATTGTTTACGTTTAATTGAAGTTAATAATAATATAAGAATAATTATTTAAAAAATTAAATATAATTTAAATTTAACAAATAAAAAGTAATTTTTTAATAGGAAATACTATATAATAAAAATAAGTAAAGAATAATAAAATAAAATAAACAAACAAAATAAACAAATACTAAGTATTATATTAAATAGGAAAGAGTGACTAATAAATACAATTAAAAAATAAAATAAAAAATAATATATTTGATAGGGTGGATTGTATAGAAAAGAAATGATAAAAACAAATAAAAATTAAATTAAATTAAATAAATAAAAAGTTATTTATTTAACAGGGGATAGCATCTAATAAAAATACAAATGAATGAAGAAATGACAAAATAAAAATTTATGAATGAATTTAATAAACAAAACAAACAAATAAACAGTATTATATTTAATAAGGGAAATATCTAATAAATAAAAATGAAAAATAAATAATTTATATTTAATAGAAAAGTGTATAGAATAAAAATAATAAAAATTAAATTAAAATTAAACATAAAAGTATTACATTTCTTAGAGAATGATATCTACAAACAATAAAAGAAATCAAGAAATAATACAATAAAGTAAATAAAAAAATCATATTTAATATGGAAAAGTATTTGATAAATACAAATAAAAATAAAATAAAATGTTATTTATTCAAGGGTAATAAATTTAATAGGGAGGAGTATATAATAAAAAATATATATACATTTTTTTATAAATCTTATTTCCTATTAAATTACCTTTTATTTGTACAAGATTTATTAAAAATACAAATTAATAAAAATAATTTACAAACAAATAAAATGTGATACACACACACACACACACACACACACACACACACACACACACACACACACACAAATAACATACACAAATAAAAAAAAATTATATTTAATATGAAAAAGTATTTAATAAATACAAATAAAAAAATTAATAAAATAAAATTAAAGGTAATGTATTTAAGTGGAAAACGTATTAAAAAGAAATAATAAAATAAAATTAATCACAACAGTAAAATTACAATGTTTAGATATTATTTACAATATTTAGACACACTTTATTTTTCTCTTAGCTCTGAATAGATTAAAACTGCAGTTTACTGATTTACAAACCATCACTATGACAGTCTTGATGCATGTTGCATATTCACATTATAATGCACATTATAAGCAATTCAAACATGCAGTTAAAGCTTGCAGACAGAGTTCAATGCAGTGTTTGCAATTTGATAATCCCATTCTTAGTTATTGTTAAATTGACAAAAAAAAAAGAAAACAATCTCACAAATCAAGCAAATTAACAATCTGTCAAACACACAAACCAGTGCTGAATGTTTTCACACAAATTGGTACATGGCAAGTTTTGGGCATTTTTATAATGATTGTAGTCTAAGTTACAAGTCAATACGGTCCCCCAGGGGCCCCTTTAAAGTGTCCTCAATGCTCCCTTTTGTCAAGCACTTGACAGTGTCCCCCAAAAAGCTGGAACATTTATCAAACAGTCTTTTTTTTCCTCAGGCAAAGTGGGTTTTAATCCCCCAGGGAGAGAAACCGGTGCCAGGCGGTATAGTAAAGTGGTATAATAGTGACTCTTTTCGTCCCAGAAGACCTTGAGCCCTTCACAAATAAATATGGCATCACCACAACTGCATGGACCCTGAGAGACTGACTAATGAAGGATAACTTAATCACAATGGAAATAAACAGGGTAAACCCTAAGGGAAAGCCATGCACTTGATGTGGTCTGTCAGAACTTACGAAGACTCATTTTGAACTATTAGAAATATAGTGATATACAGTTGAAGCTAAAATATTAGCATTTTCTCCTAAATATTTCCCAAATTATTTTTACCAGAGCAAGGATTTTTTTACAGTTTGTCCTATAATATATTTTCTTCTGGAGAAAGTCTTGTTTGTTTTTATTATTTTTTTTACAACCATTTCAAGGTCAATATTATTAGCCCCCTTAAGCAATATATATTTTTCTGCAGAACAAACCACCATTATACAATGATTTGCCTAATTACTCTAATCTGCCTAATCAACCCAGGCTCATTATTGATGTGTACCCCTGCATACGTCCCAGGAGCTATGTTTTTGGAGTTTTTGTTTTCATGAATTCACCAGAGACTGCTGTGTAGGCTTTTTCAGATCTCAAATTTCCCTCCCGAGTGTCATTCACACCTGCTGTTCTTGCATAAGTTCACTAGAGGCCACTAACTTACTGACTGATTGACCGAAACGCCCACCCATCCCCTTCTCTAAACCCAACCAACAATGTTTACAAAAACACCGATTAACCAGCGTCCACTGCCTTCCTTAAACCCAACCGATAGTGTTTTCCAAAGCACCGATTGACCCGCGCCCACTGCCTTCCCTAAACCCAACCGATAATGTTTACCAAAGCACTGATTGACCAGTGCCCACTGCCTTCCTTAAAGGGCCATGAAACCCCCTCGTTTCAGCAGGGTGTTTTCACACCTCTACTTTGGAAAAAGTCAGAAAAGTGGGCGTGAAAATGAAAACGAAACTTAATGGCAGCAAACTATAAAACAACACTTCACGCTTGTTTTGCCAACACAACGTGGCGTCTCTGTGGCGTTAACATGGTGACGCTAATGAATATTAATGAAGTTGCACAATAGAGCGCGCTGATTGGTTTGACCCAAGCCTTACTCATGCATTAATGCATCACACTGTAAGACGTAATAAGACTCACTCTGGCACAGACGCCCAGTCTGCACGCTGGAATACACGCTATTATGTCATGACCGTGACGCAGCTTCAAAAATTCGTTTCAAACAGGAAGTACAAATTTGCTTGAAATAATGCAAAAACAACCAATTTACACTTTTTAGTGAAATATAGGTGTCCTAATAGTGTTTTTAGCTGTGTGGGACACATATACGACTGTCAACAGCTCAAAAAATGTGTTTTTGTGTTTCATGACCCTTTAAACCCAACCGATAGTGTTTTCCAAATCACTGATTGACCTGCTCCCACCACCTTCCCTAAATCCAACCAATAGTTTTTTTCAAAAGCACCGATTGACTAGCACCCACTGCCTTCCCTAAACCCAACCGATGGTGTTTTCAAAAGCACCAATTGATCATTGCCACCATTTTTCCTAAATCCAAACCGATAGTTTTTTCAAAAAGCACTGTTTGACCAGTACCCACCGTCTTCCCTAAACCCAACCGCCGGTGTTTTTAAAAACACTGATTGACCCACCCACCACCTTCCCTAAACCCAACCAATAGTTTTTTTCAAAAGCACCGATTGACTAGCACCCACTGCCTTCCCTAAACCCAACCGATGGTGTTTTCAAAAGCACCAATTGATCATTGCCACCATTTTCCCTAAATCCAAACCGATAGTTTTTTCAAAAAGCACTGTTTGACCAGTACCCACCGTCTTCCCTAAACCCAACCGGCAGTGTTTTTAAAAACACTGATTGACCCACCCACCACCTTCCCTAAACCCAACCAATAGTGTTTTCAAAAGCAATCCAGATAAAGAAAAGCCCTTATTTTGTTTTTACAACGTTTTCAGATCTACCACATTCTCACCCTGTTATTTACTTGTTTATTTACATTTTTTCAGTACATGGCGGCCACTGAGAAAACAAAAGCCATCATACCACCCCGTAGCGTTCATTTTAAAGACAAAATGCAGCCATTCGTACCTCTGGCTACATAATTCGCGCTCTCCAGAAATGTATACAGGGGTACGTTTTCACAATAAGCCTATAATGAAATATTTTGTACTGTCATCATCATGGCAAAGATAAAAGAAATCAGTTATAAGAAATGAGTTATTAAAACTATTTTGTTTAGAAATGTGTTGAAAAAAATTCTGTTTCCGTTAAACAGAAACTGTGGGAATACAAGGGGCTAATAATTCAGGAGGGCTAATAATTCTGACTGTATCCATATCGAGCATTTCCTACGCTGTGTTTATGATAGTCGTAATTAACGCATGATGGTTGGCTTGAAGTAATGAATTAACATAAACATAAAGGCAAAAGGTTGGGTTTTCTTGTGTTGTTGTTGACTCCCTGAAGACGCAGTGTTGGCCCTGACCGATTAATTGACCCGAGCTTCCTGCCTTGGATTAAAATCACAAAAGGAGACGAGTCCAGCTTGGGAACGCTGATCTGGATTCAGTTGGATCCAGCACTAACCAAAACCAGATGTTTGATCTCTTTTTGACTGGAGCTTCCTGAAATCTCTCCATATACAGAATGTAGTGTAAAAGGTCCATTCACGCTATAAAAAAAAGTTTTGTTTATTGTAAGCATGCACAGAATTATTGTATGCTAAAGGGTTTAAGACTTTTAGCTTAAAAAA